GATTTTAAGGCACAAGCACTTTTGTTAGTTGACAAGAATTAAAAAAAATATAGTTTTGTACGTTCTCAAACCTGCTTTATACAGTGTGTGTCAATAAGTTGGATCCATATGTGATTTTTTTTTTTTGATATTACGATTGGAAAAAACATCGTAAACCATCATCTCTGGTTATTTAAAAACTTAAACCAACCCATATTAAATTTGACTACTGGATTTAGTATATATCTCGTTTATTTAGCAAAGCTAATAGTACATTACAAATAAATAAAATTACAAAAAATATTTATCTATATCTAAAATATAAAATATAACACTAAAATATCACAGATGCTGGCTCGTTAACATATAATCTCTTAGTTTATATTTAAAGGTATTAAATGAGGCGACATTTCGGAGTTCTAAGGGTATCTCATTAAAAGCTTGAAGTCCCTTAAAAAATATTGAATTTTGGGACTGTTTACGTGCAACTTGTGGAATATGAAAATTAGATCTATTTCTTGTGTTATAGTTATGATAGTCAAAGTTGTAATTGATTTTATCAAGTAAATAAGAGGGGACCAGTCCATGTTTAATTTTATAAATGAATATTAAAGTTAAGTACAGAAAATAGTTTTTAACAGAAAGCCATTTCAAATTTTGTAACATACCTAATATATTGGTCCTTCTATCACATGACAATAATATCCTCATTGCTCTATTTTGTAATTTCTGAAGTCTGTTGGTTTCATTCTGATTAAGTAAATACATAATGGTGGCACAATAAGTGAAATGAGGCAAAACTATACTGTTATATAAAAGAATCAATGACCATTTATTAATATATTTTGAGCACCGGTATAAGTAGTTGACTTTAAACGCTACTGTTTTAATGATATAGTTTGCATGATCTTTAAAAAACAACATATGGTCTACTATTACTCCCAGATATTTAATTTTTTTTACGACTTCAATGACATCATTTTCAATACTAATTTTCATATTATTTTCAGTAAATTCATTGTAATACCTAACATTCCCGATAATCATAAATTTAGTTTTGTTAATATTTACTTTTAACGAATTAAAACAACACCAATAATATATTTGCTTTAATGTGGTATTTATAGTAGCGGTTACTTCCTGCAAATTATTAGCAGAATAATACAGCAGAGTATCATCTGCAAACATATGTATGGAGCAACCACCTGCAACTTGAGAAATATCATCAATATATAGAAGGAACAATAGTGGGCCCAATACACTCCCCTGTGGTACGCCTAATTCATTTTTTTGTTCTTTTGATAAAATGTTTTTAAACCTTAATTTTTGTTTTCTATTGTCCAGGTAATTTATAAGCCATTCTAGTGAATTTTCAATAATACCAAAACTTTTTAACTTTTTAATCAGTAGAGATCGATTTACCGTTTCAAATGCTCTTTGTAGGTCTAAAAAAAGAGCACCTGTAATTAACTTGTTGTCAAGATTCTGTTAGTTCTGTCAGTCTCGTTTAAAAAAGAATATTTGAGCGATTTTTCAAAATTATTACGAATTTGACAGGTAAGTAACGTACGTAGCCAACTTTTTAAATAATCAGAGGTAAGTGACGTTTTTTCCGGTCATAATATTAAAACAAATTGCCATATATATATATGGACCCAACTTTATTGCACTCACTGTATGTCATATACGTGTCATGAAGACTAATTTTAAGAATTGAAGCCAATGAAGTGGTGTACAAATGGATATTTTTCTGCAATATTAATTTTGAGTTTGTTTGAAGTAGTTATTATAATCAGTTTTATTAATGTTAATTGTATCGGTTTATGAGCAATTTTAATAAAAACTAATTCAAAACTTGCAAAAATACCGAACTATTTTTGTTTATTGCAAAAATAATTATTCATAGGACGGAAGGAAATATAAAAAATAATTAGACATAAAACAAAAAGTAGTTTATTAGAAAAAAGATTATAGTATATTACAATAAAAACAACCTAAAATATAATACAGATGTCAAAAATATTGGAAATGAATCCTTTATATATCTTTCAACATTAAATTTTTGTTACACTTTTATTCCTTAAAGAACTTTGAAACCAAACGACTTTTGGGAACACATGACTTTCCAATTGCACATCTTATTTATCTTCCTCTTTCTACTCGGGACATTTGTATGATGCCCCATATTTTATAAGGTAAAAGTTTATTCACTAACTACTAAATATCCTTATAACTAATGAAGTCTTATAAAAGTAACAAAATCACGAATAACGAAAAAGCACAAAAAAATAACAACACCCACTCAAAAATTTGCCAAAATTCAAACACGAAAAACGAACTGTTTACGTTTTGTCGTTTAGACTTCAATCCTTCGACATTTGAGTTTTTTGTCTTGTCAGTTGCCACAGACTACCAGTTGCTTAGTTCCGAAATTCACAATAATCGATCCAATCGATTGTTAAGTTTCACAATTTCTGTCTAATCAACAAAAGCATGAGCGATCACGCTATTGTCAAATTATATTTTTACTTAAGTAATATCATTATGCATTTTAGAGGTACCATTACCTAATAAGTAGGCATAAAAAATTAAAAATTCTTATTTTATTACCGAAATGAATCGAGGAATCATTTAAATTCTAAAATAATCGATTTATATTTATAGAAGTTTTCAAATTTTTAGGTAAAATGTAAACAAAACCCTTCGGATTAGGAAAAACCATAAAGTAATAAAATTTCTACCCAACCATAAAATACCTTTCACTCCAACCCAAAAATTGCGATGTGGAAAAGTTCAATTGACCCGGTTCTTTAGGATTAAAATTATTATTATGACCGTCAAATATAGTTTACAAGTGAATACAATATACCAATAATGTTAATAAATGTTGAAATATTATTCTAAAGTAAAATTTAATGTTTTTTTTCTTCTTGTTACATTTAACCTACTTACTACTTACCAACTAGGTACAAGTTTTGACAGATTAGTTTTTCATGTAACAGTGCAATTATTAAATTGAAACTGGATATCGCAAAATATATTATTCTTCTAAAACATTTATTGGTATCTGTCTACCTAGATTTGGCAACCTGGATATAAAAACAAGTACGCTTAAAAATAAAATTGTTATACGAGCTACAGGTACAGATATTGCCATCTATGTACAATGTATTGAATACTTGCTTTGTTGCAAAACCGCTGGATCAAATGTCGCAGCCTTAATATTCCTAGAAGAACCCTAGTAAATAAAGTTAAAAAAATAACCTGCAGGTCCTGTTGGAGCACCTCAGCTAATCACCCCGGAGATTGAACGGTGCATTGTCAACGTTATAATAGCCAGCTCTGAATATGGCTGCCCCCTAACTATGACAGAATTGCAAGTAGTGTAAGGTGTCCGCCTAAAGAAGTTCAAAGACAATTTACCAGATGTAGACTGGTGCAAGAATTTTATTTATAGACACAAACATAAGTTATCCAACATACAGTGCCAAAATATTAAAAAAGCAAAAGCTGAGAAAACTGATGAGGAAATGAACAATTATTTTAATAATTTAGAAAGAAATGTGGCAGGAATTCCACCTGATTCCATCATTAACTAGGACGAGACCAATCTGACAGACGATCCTGGATCGTCAAAATTTATTTTCAGAAAAGGGATTAAATACCCTGAACGCATTATGAACTCAACAAAGTCCTTAATATCCGTCATATTATATTTATCTATAAAAAAATATTGTAGACAAAATATTTACCCCATAACAATATAAAACTTTCGTCAGAAACGTTTTTTTATAAAAGGCGGTATTTAACTTTAACATTTTAATTTGAACGCTTGGTATAAAGTAAACAGAAAGACGAAAAAATGTCAAGAAGAAGCAGAAAGTGCTCATTAATCAAAATCGATTTGAGAAAAATGTGTTTCATATTAATAAATGGGGGTTACTAAACTGTGTGTTATTCTTAGTTTATTAAATTTATTTTTTATTTAAATCCCAATGAAAAGTAGCCCATTTCCAGAGCTTGTAACTTTTAAACAAATCGTAGAAACGTGGGATTTTTGCTGATATGTGTTATTTTGCTATAAGTTTTGCTTCAGTGACACAGAAATTATGTATTACCTATATAGGGTGTTTTTTAAAAATCTCCTCTTTTAAATTCACCGTAACCAAATTTTATCAAATGGGAACGGACTACTTTTCATTGGGCACCATGTATAATGGCATATACTGAATTATATGGTATTGTAGATATAAAAGTTTATGTTCTCAGATATATATTGAACGAATGTATAAGAATAAAAAAAATGTTAGAACATACAAATCCATATGCATGTTTTCCTCAAATTTTCAATAATGATTATGGGTGAATTTTGACCACTGGGCGAACACAGTATTATTTTTATCCTAGTGTTAAATAAGGTGTTTTTAAAAAATATTTTTCTGTGTAAGAAATTCCATATTTTCCTTTTCTTCCAATCAAAACTTGAAATTTTTTAGTTTTAGCGCTGAGGATGACAGTTTTAAAGGTTGAAAGCGTTTTGCTAGGATAGTTTTAAATAATACAATTACATACTAGCAATAAAAACATATAATGTATCTTCCCATAATGTGTAAAAAAATTGTCTTATTTTAATGTTTAGTTCTTAGTAGCGCGGTAAAACCCTGAAGTCGTGCAGCTCCTCTTAAGCATATGATAAAACCATTAAATATTATTAATTTTAATGAGCAGATAGAACCCATTGTTTGTAAAACGCATTCAAAAAGAAAACCATCAACCGCTGCACCAACGCCGACCTCTTCTCTACAGGTTAAAATGACGCAATTTTGTGCGAATTTAACGCCGATCCTGATTTTTTGCATTTTTTATCATATTCTCGCTCTCCCTATGTGCATACATGCGGAAAGTGAATAACTGTTAGTGTCCTATTTGGGTGTGGACAAGGTTATCAGTGACTATATAAAATACGGTGCAATAGGAATTATTTGTATCACTCCTCCGATATCAACATTAAAACAATCAACATGAACCCATTGGTAAGTATTTCATTTCATTTTACCTGCTTGCAATAAATTCATATTTCGAAAGAACGTATCAGTGCGCGGTGCAACAAGTGACAGTGAAAATTTATTAAAAAAAGGTGAAATGTGAAATATCTTTTACACAAAAATAATTTATGAAAAATTTATTTTCACCTTTCTTGCAATTTAAGTATATATTTAACTTTTAATATGTAATAAATTATTACATGTTTTGTTGGGTTTATACGGGACACACTGCATATTTAAGAAAATGTTGTTCTGCAAATAAAGATTTTTCATTTTAGGACAGAAAATTTAAAGTGGATTAAAATTTATTAAGCAAAAAAAAATAAATTGTTATATTGATGTATATTTTATATTTATCCAAATTATAAAGCAATTATTCTTTTGTCTTATGATAGTTTCTTTCTTTAAAAAAGGAGGAGGTTATCAATTTGTCGCGATATATATATTTTTTTTGTATGTTCGGCGATAATTCTTTAACACGGTGTCCGATATCAATGATTCTTTTTATGTTAGAAAAGAGGTACTTCAGTGGTAGTCCCATATATATTTGGTCAAAATATAATAATTCGATCCATGAGAAAATCATCAAACTCTTCATTTTTTATGTATGTTTAGTGATAATGCTTTACCACCTTGTCCGATTTATATGATTCCTTTTTTTTGTTAGTAAGGGGGTACCTCATGGGTGGTCCTATATAAATTTGGCACGTTTTTGAAGTTGTTTTTTTTTTAATTTTTAATTTCTAATACTTGTAGTAAATTTTTACTGTTTGTTTTCTGACTTTTGCTTTGAAGTAGACACCTACATCTTCTACGCATAATTTTTCACTTTTATCGTTCTAATTACATATTTAAACTGATTTTTCCATACTATGCTTACTGCAGATTCCAATATTTCACCTAGATTCATTAATAATATAATTCCAGAATTTCTCTGCATTTCTGTACTAATTTTCTCTTGTGACTCCCAATCATATTTTTTTCGTTTTTCTTTGACTATAATCTTAATAATTGTACACATTTTTTTATCTAGTTATTATTAATTTTTGTTATAAATATATCAGTGATAACTATACACGCTTCTGGATTAAATCCAAACTGTATATTAAAAAAAAATGTAGAATTGTAAGCTCAAGCATGCGTGTTTTTTCCAACGCATACTTTAAATTTTTTTTAATGATTTTATTTATATTAACATCTCTATCAACAAAAAGGATACAAGGATACTAAACTTGGATGCAAAATTATTTTGATTAATATAGTAATTGACAATACCAGCGTAGCCTATCTATGTAATAATGATGCCTTTTAGCTTTAATGCCATTCCCACTTTCATTTTTTTAATTTATATTTGTTATTTTTGTGCAATGTGTTCTAATGAGTAGCTGCTCTACTAAACTCTTCTGAGTTAACACATATAACTCATATTTAAGTAATGGATGAATTAAAAAACTGTACTCACAGTTGATACCATTTTTAACGATATAATCACCTTACTACTTGAGAACGTACTATTACCGTGATTGCTCTTATCCAATGACCTTCTACTTTTTTTCATTCATAAATACGCCTCGAGATTTTCCTTTCACATATTTCTAGTTGTTGTTTTTTTTTTGTTTATTACCCATAATTCTTAACAATGTAATACTATCAGAATTATTATCGGTCTGGTAGGTTTTCTTTTTTGGTTTACTCGTGACTGACTTCGAGTTAAATGCCTTCAGTAAAACCGATATCTTCATTGTTTTGCAAAATTTATTCTCATTGAGGAATAATGGGTCTACTCTGGTTATGGGGGTTTTCTATAATTAAAAATGTTTGTCCATGAATTTGAAACTACATTTAATTTTCTCTTTAGCAAATGAATTGATCTACTTATTATACAGATCAGTGTCTATAAGTCTGCTGGTTTGTCTTTCTTACTTTTTATACCATTTTTTTAGTAAAGGGTTCTTTTCTCTTTTCTTGTCTTAGGCCATTAAACATATTTTGTATATTCTGTACTTACTAAATACATTCCAAATTATTTCTCTTGTTACTCCGTTCAATTACCGCTGCAACCTCATCTCAGCAATGTATATTTTCTGCTCATATATTTTCTTTTCTCTTCAACATTCTTACTTGTCAATTTTATCTATTACAAAAGATATGGAAAGCATTATTCTTTTTTATTCTCTTCTGTTTAATATTTTACTTTTAAAAAGGTTTTGATGCTTCTATCTATTAATCCTCTTTGATTTCTTCGTCTATTAACTACGCTATTGTGCATATCTACGTGATTTCAGTTCTTTTCTAAAAAAAAAGATCCATTAACCTGTTGCTTTCCATCCTTAGTTGTTTAGATATTTTATAATTCGACCATTCGTCTTCAATTCTGTCACTTTCATTAGAATTTCTTTTTTTACTTTTAGTAAATTTAAATTTTATGATTTTTTTATTTCACAATTTGTTTTTACTGCAATAGGAGATTAATAGTGGATTCATTAGTAAATTTATGTGTAAATATAACAGTATTTAGATTCAGTAGCACACAGATTCAGTAGCAACTATATTCATTACTCCCTAACGTTTTTTGATTCATTTTTGTCTATATTTTTTCCCAAATATCCTTTGCTGGTTCGTACAGAAGTACAATTGCTTTTTTGCATGACTAAATTAAATTATTTCTGAAAATATATGAGGGTCATTCAATAAGTAAAGAGACAAATGGCTATAGCTCAAAACCGGTTTATTTTAATCTTTCAAAATTAAGCTATTTTTCAACATAATGACCCCCCAGAGTTATGCACTCGTCTTATCTTTCTTGCCGCTTTCTAATTCCCTTGACGAAGATTTCTTTCGATTTACTCCGAAGCCACTTTTGCACCACTTCCTCATTGTTAGCAAATACTATTAGGGCATCTTTGAGTGGTTTAAATAGGTAAAAATCAGATGGGGCGAGGTTGGGACTGTAAGCAGGATGAGGGTAAGACCTCCCATCCCAATTCTTGAAGCTTATTACGGGTCAGCTGGGCTGTATGAAGGCAGACGTTATCATGCTGAAGAATGACTCCTTTTGATAAGAGTCCACGGCGTTTGCTCCTGATAGCTTTTCTTTGTGTTCTACCATCTTAGAGTAGTACTGGCTATTGATAGTTCGCTGATCTTCAGGGAAATCACAATAGACTGGACCCTGTGAGTCCCAAAAGATGGACAGCATCACTTTACCGGCGGAAGGTTGTACCTTGAGTTTTTGCGAACTGGAGAGCTAGTGTGTTTCCACTCCATACTCTGCTTTTGGGTCTCAGGGTCGTAGTGATGGATCCAAACCTCGTCGCTAGTCACTATTCTTTCAAAAAAAGCGTCTTCTTCAATCAAACTTCGTTGCTTTAAGTCTTGACTAATGGAAAGCCTTGATTCTTTAAGAGCCTTAGTAAGCTGTCTGAGAACCCATCTGGCATACGTCATTCTTCTGTTATCACGAATAAGTCCATCAATCCTCGATTCTAACCAGAAACTTCCACTGGACGTCCATATCGGGGTACATCACCTACACTTATTCGGCCACTTTTAAACCGATCAACCCACTTGTGAAAATTCGCACGGTTCGTACAACTTTTACCATACTGTATCAATATTCTAGAAAAAATTTCACTTGGTCTTACACCTTTTGCGACTAAAAATCTAATGACTGAGCGCTGCTCTTCTAAGGTGCAATCTTCTAGTGGAATTGCCATGGTGAATTGAAAATTTTGAGGTTATGTTGACATAAAATGATGAAACAACTGATCAGAGCATATCCCAAGGTTGCCAACTGACACCCCTGAATAGATTGTACACATTCATTGAATAGTTTTAAAATTAGAGCATTTGTCTCTTTACTTATTGAATGACCCTCGTATCAGAATAAAATAGTCACGCTCTTCTCCCTAATGTTTTTTTTTTTTAATACGGAGTACCTGCAGCAATATGTAATTTTACATTTTCCATTATAACTTAAACTATTGCATTGGCATCTATTACCTTGCTTTTCTATGATAAATTGCTTACAAATTATCAACATTTTATTTGTTTTTAGTCCGTCGCAATCCTCTTCGTAGCTGTAGCTGCCGCCAGCGCTAGCGGTCTTCTAGGAGCCGGCATCATCGGCGACAAAGGAGCCCTCGAAGGCGCTCTTGGAGGCCAATGGATTCCTGATGTACCAGTCGATGGCCATGGTGCCGGAGTCATTGGAGGCGGAATCGTAGGTCACGGAAGTGCCAGAGGAGCCATAGAAGGCGCTCTTGGAGGTCAATGGATCCCTGATGTTCCAGCACATAGTCCCGCCGTTGTTGCCCCAGCTATCGGACCTGTAGGTCTTGGACTTGGTCTCGGCCATGGTCTTGGTCTTGGTGGTCTTGGCGGTATTGGCGGTATTGGCGGTATTGGCGGTATTGGCGGTATTGGTCTTGGTGGTGTCGGTCTTGGCGGAATTGGTATTGGACCTGGAATCGCTGGCGTTGGTATCGCTGGACACGGAGTCTCCAGAGGAGCTTTGGAAGGCGCTTTGGGAGGTCAATGGATCCCAGACACCGGTGTACATCATTAAATTTATATTCTTTTAGCTTAAGTAAAAATGACTGACGTGTTTAGAATTGTTTTCTTATTATCTTTCTTTACCTCTTCTTTTCTCTGTCTGTAAAATATGTAAATTTTTGAACTGTTTTATTTTAATAAATTTGTCAGTTGTTACCATCTTTTTTTCATCTTAAATTGTGAAAATGGCTACGAAATAAATGTAAAATTTAATTAAACTTATTTTTTTATCCAACACCTGATGATATTTGCAGAGCCATAATGTTTTCATTTCAGACCAGTACATATTTTGTAGAAGCATGCAAAATAAAGACCTGTCTCGAGAATTTCGATTAGCTTAAAATTAATTTATTTGTAATGCAAATTAATTCGTCCACAAAGAACGAAATGCAAAATTTTCTTTCTTGTTTATGATTTTTAAAATCAGCTAAGCAAGGCAAACCGAAAAATATAAGGTATACAATTTAAAAAGACAGTCGATGTAATTATTCGAAAATAGTGTACCCTAAAAAATACATTAAATTAAAATAACAAATTACTTTAGAGACGCACTATATAATATACCTTGGCATTAAAAATATTACTCTCCCTATTCACCTTCTTCATCTAATTAATAGAATAAGAAAAAATCGTTATACCCTGATCTTAAAATTCCGGACTCATAGATTCCAATATCCTCCATGCTCTACCTATTGAGCCACGCACCCCCTGACAATCCAGTTTATCGAAAATACAATTTTATCAAAACATGACGAAGTATCAGTTTTTTATCAAAAAACAAGGACGCAAATACGGTTATAAAACTAACTTTACATGATCAGAATCCTTAAAATCATAATAAAAATTTAAATGGTAAATTCCTTACAAATTTATAAATATACATGTAGAAGAAAGAACATTGCCACTTGTTACTATTATTATGTTCGAGACCATCTGTCTTATTGAAGGCGTTTAACTTTCTTTATAACTGAAGGTCAACCTGTATGTAGTTTGTCTTACTAAGCTACCCGGGTATCGTATATTTCATTTTACATGTTAAAAATAAATTTATTATAATTGGATATTTATTTGTCGAAAATTATAGATAGGAATCCTGCAAAAAATCAAAAGCAACGACACAATGAAATTGTTAACATTTCCTTTATTAGTAAACATCTTTTTATAACTACTAATACAGGATGAAATTGAATCAAAGATAATATGCTCGAGTTATTTTATATATGCTCCTAAAAGCTAAAATATTATATTTTCATAAAAATCAAATTTCTCGAATACGGACCATTTCAGGAAATTTTTACATAAAGCAAAAATTATAGATAATAATATTAGAAGTAACTTTT